TATACGAGGCTGGCATTCCGCTCTCACCCTTTCACTGTTGAAACTATTAAATGTAGCCGTCTCTTCTGCTCCAATAGCTTCATATCTCGCGCCTCTCGCGGAACTCCCTTCCCTATTCCTGTTTCCCAGAGAGCTATAATATCCAACTATTCAAATGTAATATCAATCGACATCTCCAGTTTCCTTTTGATCTATCCACTATCCTTTTCCTCAGCCTTTCCTCTATCACTCTTATCTGCACTTGCTCCAAATCTTCTGTAACCCCTTGCATCCTGGTGGCTTCCCGCCTTGTTTGGGGGAAACGCTTAAATAATATATATATATATATATATATATATATATATATATATATATATATATATATATATAAAGAAAGAACAGTAAGATATATAATCCGGTGTTCTTATTACTATTTTTTATTTTTACAAAATAGTGCTCAATGTAAATTTACAGAGCATAAATATTATTTAAAATATGGTTTCTTCGCCACACAGTAATAGCCAGGTTTCAAAACTGAAGCTAAAAACTTCAAATTTAATTATATAATTAAATTAAAAGTATTAGTTCTGTTTCATCTTCAGGCGAATTTTGGAATAACTTTTTTTAAATTTACTGAGTTTTAAACTGTTGATATATATATATATATATATATATATATATATATATATATATATATATATATATATATACAAATGAGAGAAAGAACAGATGGGGGCTTGGAGAGTAATTATACATTTTTATAAATTCTTATTGCTCAAAGTATAGACCAATTGTGCTATAAAACCTCGGAGAATTCCAGTAAGTTATATCTATAATCATTTCTAAGATACAACAGTTCAGAGCTTATTCTAACAAATGGACAATTTTGTTGTTCGACGATTTGGACAATTTTGCTGTTTCGCTTGATATATATATATATATATATATATATATATATATATATATATATATATAATTTTATAACACCTAGAGTATCAACCTGGGGTTTATACTGCAACTCGGCCGAGCAGACCGTCTTTACAGTTTCTGGGAAAGTGATCCCTAGTTGATCAAGGCAGGTAGGATCGAACCCTCGGTTACGATGATTTGTGACGTTCTGCATCGAGAAACATCGACGTCTTCGGATCAATTTCCGACCACGATGCTTGGTTCAACGCTTGGTGCAACGTTTGATATGGTTTTCAGGTCATTTCCGACGGCTCCCCAGATCGATATTATCACCTCCCTGTCAAATCGAGCTAGGAATCGTCCACAAATTGGTTATCAAATGACACTTTCAAGTCCCGACAGTGTCCGAAAGTCTCACCGAATCCTTGTGGTTGATTATTTTCCAATTCTACAACCCCTTTCCGCACAGGCGAAAAATCGCTAGACTATTCTCACTCTAACGCTATTCCCAGGAAATGAATTCAGACGAATTTTCTTAGTTTCTTTATTTATAATCTTCACGGCAAAGATCAGCCATACCACGCCCATTGTAGTGACCCACCCTCATTCCCTTCGTATACAATTGGTGAGACCTAAGTTCCACTCGAGCAGCTTCTTCCCACGAAACACTGCTTTGTGGGACTGACTACCTAAACGATGCGTCCCCGATCACTACAACCTTGGCTTGTTCTAGACTTAACCGTTAACTTCTTCACATGTCCCCATAAACTCAGCATTTTACTCTGTAACGCTTGTCCCTTCCACAACCGAGTTAAACTTAGATCCCAACAGAAAAAAAAAACTCTGCCTTCCCACTGTATGATTAGTCTTCCCAAGTGTTCTCACAATTACAGGGTATTTCTTGCCTCATTTCCTTTTAATATAAGAAAAATATTCGTGAATATGAAAGGATTATGATAAAAATAAGCAAACATAATATATGTAATTTATTCAATCAGACATATATATATATATATATATATATATATGGGATATTTTCTGTTTTCTTTATGAATTTGTAGGTCTGAAGAATTTGATAAGTGATTACGATTCCAATGTAATAAATTATAACGATGGAATATTCGTGTTTGAGCCTTTTATATTATATTCTTGCTCTGTCTTGGACATTGAGCTCTAACTGAGTTCTAACTCTCTCATATATATATATATATATATATATATATATATATATATATATATATATATTGACCAGTATTATTATTCTACATATATATATATATATATATATATATTGACCAGTATTATTATCTCTATATATATATATATATATATATATATATATATATATATATATATATATACATATCAGAGGGCTGACTTGTATTACTTTATTACTTGTTCTTCTATTTTTCTGTTACTTCTTGGTAGGGGTGATAAGACTCTCTGACCACCCAGCATACACACACACACACACACACACACACACACACACACACACACACACACATATATATATATATATATATATATATATATATATATATATATATATATATATTGACATCCAAAGCTCATCAGTGTGGCTAGACGTCAGGTTGCCTCTAGCTAAAAT